TCTCGCTAAAAATCGAAAAAAAAAAATCTAAAATGTAGATCTATGTCTGTGTCTATGAGCGGCAGAAAACTTCAGTTTGTCAAAGATCGCGACGACCGAACGAACGCGGCGCCGCTGCCAGTGGAACGCGGCGAACACGAAACCGAAACGCGACCGAAATCGCGCACGAACCGCAGCCGAAACGCTACCGAAACGCAACCGAAACGCACCCGTCTGTCCTGTACCGTTATTTCCGTACCATCCGCTATCGATATCGATTATCCCTATCGATTGACAGGACTGGCTGTGTGCGCGGCAACGAAATTTATAATTTTTTCCTTTCGCTCAAACATATATGTATATATTTTTTGTTTTTAATGTGAAATGTACGTGCCATGTGTGTATGTGTCTATGGTATGTGTGTGTGCGTGTGCGAACTGTTCATGCGGCAATTACATTGATTTTTAATAGTTATCGGTTTTTAATGAACCACTGAAAAATGGAAATTATGCTTGGCACACTCGTGATTATCGGTTCTGGCAATTGCAGCTTAACTCGCCATTATTTGCAACATATATGGGCGTGACGATCATTATTACAGTGCGTTGCGGCATATTAATGCGATCGCTATTATGTCGATTATGAGTTATGAGGCTGTAAAATGAAAATTATCACATTTCTTAGTGCTATCGAAAAAATCTATTCTTTGAAAAGGTTTTGCTTTATAAAACATTGAATTAGTTGAATTTTTAAAATTCCTGAAGCAAAATTGATAATATTCTTTTGTAATTTATCGATATTATTTATCGAAGAACGTGCACATTACTGAAGCGCACTTTTTTATTGCCATTTTTACACTTTCGCTTTTAATGATCACATTGAAATGGAATGCCATCGGTTTGGGCAATTCCAATTTTAATTCCAATTCCGATTGACATTCCAATTCCGTTTCAATATCGTTTCGCAAAGATCGGCGACACTTAGCCGGGACACACACCCCGAAAACGAGACAATTACCCAGGAATGGGGCATGATTTCTTTTATTACTGTGTTTAAACCCAAACTGACGCCAAAAGGGCGACTGAAACAAACAAAAATAAAACAAAAAAAACGAAGGAAAAAATATCAATCGAACAACGATCGATTCGGACCAGTTCCAGAAGGGAAAGGGTGTCAATGCACTTGGAAAACAAATTTGACAAACAGAAAAATGGTTTCTTAAATGGAATATTATATTAGAGAATATTATTAGAATTATTTAAAAGGAAAAAGAAACATTACAACAATTTTCTAATAGGTTTATAGGAGGAATTTCTATGAAGTATTTCTGCTACCGAATAGATACTACTATTTTGGCGCCGTGTAGGTGGGTTAGATCGATCGGCGGCGTATGATGAAATTTCCTGAGCGGTTCAACAACAACAACAACAACAGCCGCCAGCCATTTACAATTCCAATCGAATGGCAATTGTTGCCTTGCCTCCGACTTGCAGCATGATTCAAGTCGAGGGCGTGCCAAGGGACCGGCCGGAGGTTTGTCTATATCGTCTATATATGAACAAATACTACGAGAGTAAGTACATAGACCATTGTGGTAGCTGGCTACGATGACGTAGCCCCGTAGTAGCATTTTTTCGATCAGAACTGTGCAAAACGTAAAAGTAGGGAGTTTAGGGAGGACTATCTTATTAAATGAATATTTTTAAATACTTTTCATGAGACTGTAGACACGGTACTTGTATTACGAGATTTCGATTTCGCTATGATCAACTGATCAAACACTCTCCCCTTTTGATCGTCCAAACAATACACGGAATTTAACAATGTTTGCCAGTTGGCTAACTGCTGTTTTACGGCCACTTTGGCTAGAAAACAAAGCTTTTTCCCTACGCGACGCACACACATGACGTATACGTGATATTTTTGGCCTGCACAAAAAAAAAAAACACAAAATGAAAAACAGACAGAAAGAGAAAGAGCCAGAGCGACAGATAGACGAATCTCTGTTGCTAGGGTGGCACTTTGTATTTTGTATTGGGGGTTAGTCAGCTTATAAATAATGGAATTTCATCTAGGGGCTTTTAGTGAGCTGCTGCCGCCGCCGCCGCCGCCGCCGCTGCTGACTACTGTGAACTTTGCTTCAAAGAACTTTTATTCCGATGACCATCAGGGGGAAAATTACTCAATCGAATCACGAACCATTTCCTGGAACAAAAGAATTTACTGGATTTCAAGTTTTGAGTGTTGAAGTGACAAGCTTTTGTTTGGAGTTGAGTTTAGAATTGAAGGTGCTTTTTTTATGATTTTTATTTTCACCTGAAATAAAGGTCTCCAATCTCAATATTCCCCTGTTCTCCTTAAAGCCACATACTTGGTGCTCAACTAGACCAAGTAGCTGGCTCAAATGATTGGACCTTCTGGCTTCGGTGACCATCAAATCAATTGCATGTGACTGCAAGTAAGACAATACTTTTTAGCCGCTACACTGAGGAAATAATTGGGACGAAAATAAAATAAAAAAGTTGCTCACAACTAAAATTTCAACAACAGATTTTAAAATATAACAACAACAAAGCTTATCAGAAATATAAAGTACCATAAGTTTACCATCAACAACAAAATGCTTATCACTGAATACAAACTTAATTTATTTACCTAAAGTATTTTTTTTATTCCAATTTATACAAATTACAATCACATTCCAACAAAGATGTATCTCCAATACGATAAAGTAAAATATAAATAAATTATAGATTGCCAGTAAAGTTATTTCAGAAGCAAGTTCAGTTAATAGGAATTAATATCTTATTGCTTCAAATATATGTATATTTCTTAACTTTAGCTAGCATTTTCTCCCAGTGTCTTTTTGCGGGCTGTTATGCAGTCAACAGCCGTCAAATGGCTGCTTCTGTTTCATTTGATGTCTTTCTGTGTGCGTTTGCCATTCGCCATTTGCCATTTAAATGAATGCGAGCAATTTTGTCGGTGATGTGTTGTTGTGATTTGCCTTGATTGGCATCTAATTTATGATTGACAGTTACAAACGTCGGAGCCATCGAGCCGAGCTCAGCCGATGCGCTCCCGAGCTCAGCCGAGCCGAGTCGAGTCGAGTCGAGCCTACCGCAAGAGATTGAAAGTACCCGTACAAACTATAGGATAGACCTTACTGTCGGATATCGGCTTTGCTCACACGGCTGTCAATCAAGCTATTAAATAATTTACAAACACATTCGAATCAAATTTATGAACTAACGTCTTGATTTACGTAGTCTTCGCTGGCTGAATGCGGTTTGAAGCATTGACACCTTGACGGGCATTGTCAAAGAGTTTCACACTCACACACTGGCTACTGTTCTATCGGATTACGCGGCGTATGCGCAATGCGGCCCAGTCCTAAGCGAAACGGAACGAAACGAATCGAAACGAAACGAAATGATCGAGTATCGAAAGGCAACAACAACAACAACAACAACAATTGCAGTTTATCAGTCAGTCATTCGGTTAGTCAGTCAGTTAGTCAAGTCAGTTGGCCAGTCAGTCAGTCAGCCAGCCAGCCCCCACATAGCACAAAAGTTGTCTGCCCGATATAGGCCACACACTGTGGGCCTGTAAACAAAACACGGCTACTCGAATGGAGCACCGACATAGCCGTGTTGGGCTCCAACTGATAAGCGAACTATATCTATATACATATATGTATATATACTGACTGTGCACCAGTGACGCGGCACAGAGGTGCTGTAATATTTACCCGCCTCTTGCCAGTGACCCTCGTTTCGGGACAGCAAGAGATTCAACAACAACAGATTCAACAACAACAGATTCAACAACAACAGATTCAACAACAACAGATTCAACAACAACAGATTCAACAATGCACCAACAACAAGCTAATCAGGGATAAAAAGTATTAAATAAATGACTTTACCAATGCCCAACAATTATCCAATATCTAACAGATATCTCTGTGATCCAAGAAATAATACATACTCTTTTCGACAACAGATTCAACAATGCATCAACAAAAAGCTTATCAGGAAGAAAAAGTACCAAATAAATGCCTTTAACAATACTCAACAATTATCCAATTATGTATCTCTGTGATCCCAGAAATAATACTCTTTTTATAGTGCATATATTTCCACTGTCTGATAAGTTGACCTTCCGATTTTCGTATTCGTTCAAAGTACAATTGAACCGGGAAAAAAAATGAAAATGAAAATGCCTTGCGCACTTTCCCCCAAAGGCTCTCGTCGAGCTTTCCACTGACATACAAATCATATTTTTCGCTTCTCCCCATCCCATATGTTGTTGTTGGTGTTTTTCTTTTCGGGATTGTTCGAATATGATGTGTATATATGGATATATGGACATAAATATGCTGTGTGTGTCATGTTGCCGCTATGTTGGCGACGTCGACGCTGGCAGCGCTCGCTAAAACTACATAAATCAAAGGAAAAGCATTTTTCTGTTTTCTGATCGTCTAGCAGAATTTTGCTTTTGGTTTTTTTTTTTTTTTTGCTTCATTTATATTTTCCCCCGTGTATCTTTGTTTTTGTTCTTGGCGATTGTTGATTGCTGTCGTTGGTGTTGTTGTTGCAATGGCATTTTGTACGCATGTTTCAGACATTTAACATTTTCTTCTTTTTTTTATATAGACAAGAGACAGATATCGTTCATATACAGACACACACAAATGTATAGATATATAGGTATTTTTTTGTTTTTATTTGTTTGCGGCGGGGCCGTGAGGCCAAAACATTTATAGGAATATTTCAAATTGCAGACGACGACGTCGCCGCTCTGCCAGCAGCGCATTAAATGAGTCTGACAAAAGGAAAAGCGACAAAAAAGCCAAACATAAATAAATAAATCCGAAGGGGAGCCAAGTTGGTAGTAACGAGGCCGCCATACCCTGCAAAATGCTACCAAAAAAGTGTGATAATTATTGGAGAAATGAGAGAGAGCTTATCGCTACGGAATTCTCTCCTCAAGGATTATCAATTCTGCTAGGGCATATATATATATATTATTATTGTTTTATATAGTTCTTGAACTTGAATACGAATTAATCCTTAAATGCAATGCCTTAATCAAGGGCAGCCTTAGCTTACGCCAGGAAAAGCACATTAAATTGTTGCCATTCACAGTTTTCCTTTGATGTCAGCACTTCCCCAGGCTGTGGCAAGACATCACTAAGTAAAATAAAATACATATATATATTTAAACGATTAAATATAGAACGGAACCCGTTTACCTGCAGTTGCAATGACAATTTCATATTTCATAGATGCAGCATTTTCCAAAAACAAAATAATGAAAACCCTGGCAATATGTATGGACTACGAAAATGAATGGAAAATGCGGCTAAAAGCCAAGGCTTGTTTTCCTTCTCTTTTCTATACAGTTTTTTGATGTTGCTGGCAGCAGCAGCAGCTATTTTCGTGCATATTATTTCATACGCCTTACATTCTTCGTGTTTTGAGGCTTTTAATAAACTGAAAAACTATTTTAATTTGTTTTATTTTTATTTCAAATGTGACAGAAATGATTGTTAACGATATGGCGACATGTTATTGTCTATGGCGCTATGATAATGAAAATCAAATTCAATATCAAACTCAAAATCAAAATCCAGAATCAAAAAAGAATGAGAAAATGAAAGCGAAACGGCTGAAAGCTATAACGAAAGCGAAGGCAAACTAATTAATTAACCGAAACCGCAAATATTTGGTCGCATATTGGTCACATATACCCCATTATACACTCCCCCGAATATATCTGAATATATCTGAATAGCCGAATATTCGAATATTCGAATTCTTCGGTTTGTCATATTTTTCCGCGCATTATTTATTAGCAATACTTAATATACAGTCGTCGGGGACAGAACTCTGCTTTTTTAATTGCGATCACACGTGCCGCAGACGGGGGACCCAGCGCCAAAGAACATTTATAATATTTACGCGATGATATATGGAATGTTTCGGCCATAAAGGGACTTCTCCACTTCTCGGGCAAATAAAGTTGTTTGCTTTTCGGTGAAAATTACCCCAATTCCACCCACTGATTAATCCGTGAATTTGTTTTCGACATTCTCGGACCAACGACTCTCCCGGGAGCAGGCTCATTTTTTCGAGGAATTTCACTATCGTTAATTGAGTAAATTTAATGACTTTTCAGGGGACGAATATCGTATGTTTTGATCACATGTTGTGTTGATATTTTAAACTTGGTTTTTAAAGGAATTTTTGAGACTGCATTGTAGCTATTTTTGGGATGTTTTTATCAGGAATTATGGGACTTTCGAGATTTTTAAAAGATAATGAAAGGTCAATAAAAGGAAATATTAAGCAAAGGAAAGGAAATATTGTAGCATTTGAATTAAATTATATTTTATTCCAAAATGCTTGGCAAAATATTCCAAATACGGTATATTATTAAATAATTTAATCTAAAGAACAAAATGTACATAAGAAGATATACATTTATTAAAAGTAAATGCAATTATTTAATCCCTTTCAACTCTATTTATTTGAATGTCATATCATTAGGACATTAATAAAATAATATTTAAATAAATAATGAACACATTTAAAAACATATAACAAATGTTTAACATATTAAAATGAATATTTTACATTTTATTTTGAAAATATTTAAACAAATAGTTGTACAAGAAACACATTAAAGGTAGCAAAGAAATACAAACAAAAATCCTTGCATTTTGTAAGGAATCCGTATTTAATATCCCTGAATTTCCACAAGATTTTCCCTCGACCACTGGCCTAGGTCCTGCGGCATTTTCTCTGTTCTCCTTTTTTTTCCTTCATTTCCATTTGCAATCCTTTTTACGAGCGAGCCTCGCGATTGGCCAAAAAGGGGGCGTGTGTGCAAGAGCGTAAGGGCAAGAGAGTCGGCAAAGGACGTGGCCAAGGCAGCGCTGCTCACGCCCACGCAGCGACGTTGGCAGCGGAATTTGCACAACCGACAGAGAGAGAGAGAGAGAGAGCGAGTCAGAGCGAGAACGGGCTAGTGATAGTGTGGGCGAGGGTGATGCGGCAACATGTTGCACAAAGCCATAGGCCTGGCAACATGTTGACTGCGCCACCATCAGGTTGCGCAGGCGCAGCGACGTCGGCAGCAGCAGCGCTCATTCAACTTTTCGTTCGTCATCGCCAAAGCATCTCTATCTCTTCGACACGCGACTCACACACACACACAAACAAACACACGCACACCTGCTGCCGTTGTTGCGAAAAAAAAGTGCAAACAATAGCGAGCCGAAGAAAATTGCAAGCGAGCCGAAGCCCCAGAGAGCAGAGCGATCGCAGCCGAAGAGCGCTTCGGCTCAGAAAGTTACTAGGTAGCGAGAGAGAGTGAGGAAGAGAGCTAGCGAGAGAGAGAGGGAGAGCATTCGCAGCAGCGCAACTCAATTTAAAAAGTATTGCAATTTAAATTTTATTTTATTCGTCATTATTTAAATTTAAAAATAAAATTTATTTGTTAATTTTGATTAGTTTTTATTTTACTCATAACTCTTTTTTTGCGATCCCTGCAAAAGCAGCCTCACTGCTTCGATTAAATATTTTATACTTAAAATTAAAAAAATAATAATAACAAGCAAAATATTATTTTCTAAAAATCGGCTTTTTTCTTAGCTATTTCCCCTTGGAATTTGGCTTTTTTTAGCTATTTTGTTTGGGTAATCTAGCTTTTTTGCTCCGAAATAAATGACATCACTGAGCAGCGGCAGCAGCAGCAGCAGAGCAGCAGCGCAGCAGCGCCTCCGTTCGCAGCTATATACACGGCGGCCCGCACCGCCAAGTATCTAGTAGATAAAAAGCCGCCGATCCGCCGACAACCTCGACGCACCGTCGCACCGCTCTCGAAAACAAACAAAACGCAAACGCACACAAAATAAAAATAAAAATAAATGTAAATGGCATAAGAATAAGAAGGAAATAAGAATCGAATCGCCGTATATATCTCTCTCGATCCGCTGCTATAGTGCCGCGGCCTGAACTGAACAATCGAGCAAAGCTAAAGCCACGGCTAAAGCTGAAATTTATGCAAACAAAATCGAATAGAAATAGCGAAAGCAGGCAGCGAATAGAATATAAATCCAATAAATCGGCGCGCGAAACCCGCGAGTGTTATCTAATCTGCAAGAGAAGTACCAGAATCGGAATCGGAATATATATATATATATATACATATATATATAATACATATGATATATAATACATAATATAGCTATATACTAAACAGAGCGCGAGTGTGTGTGCCGGCCGACCTTTGTTTTGTATTTTTTGTCGTTACTGTTACTCTGTGTGCAAACGTGCTCTATATATAATATATATCCCAGCGATCTGAAGCCAGATCGGGATCAATAACAACATCAGCGCTACTTGGAAAACTCAACAAAAAAATAATAATAATGGCCATCAAGCAGAGGAAGCAATCGGAGTGGGCCACGGCGACCGGCACAGTGCCGCTCCTGGATATGGACAGGAGCAGTGCCTGCTGCAGTTCCTCCTCCACCTCCACCTCCTCCTCATTCACCTCCACCTACTCCTGCCCCACCCCCGCCTCAGCCACCCTCGAAGATATCCACAGCAGATCCCGCAGAGCCATCTCCGCCGAGAAGCTAACCTGCCATCTGCGTCACCTGCTCCTCGCCGGACTGCTCCTATGTTTGGCTTTGGCGGGCGGGGCGGAGGGGCGGCGGCATGCGCCGCTCATGTTCGAGGAGTCCGACACGGGCAGGCGCTCCAACCGACCAGCAGGTGAGTCCAGTAACCATTATACTATATATATATATATCTTAGTATATACGTTCCCGTATCGTGTGTCGTTCTCCACGAGCCATTTGCCGTTTTCCACCTTGCCATTTTCCACTTGCCCAAACAAACACCAACGGTCGCAAATATATAAGTCAGTTAGTAATCATTTCCAGGGGTTTTTTTTCTCCATAAAGGTGATTTTACTATATTTTTAAGATCTGTTTTCCAAATAAAATTACGGGAAAGCCAAGGAAAAAGATCAAAAAAGTATAAAACCCCGTTAACATGTTAAATATTTTGAGGAAGACTTTGACTTTAAAAGTCTTTAATAGGTTTTTAAATATATATTTTTTTTATTTATTTTAAAATGCCTTTCAAATGATTTTAAAATATTATCAATCATTCATTTATTTTGTATTCAATTTTCGTTTTCTTTGCCTAATTTAATTTTGACTTCACTTCCTAAATATTTCCCATTTAAATTGGTTTAATATATTTTCCTCTGAAATCAAACAAATATAAATATAATATTCAAAATATTATTCCAATTCTTGGCAACTACTTATTTATTATCAGTCAGTTTTTTCGTGGAAGCTTCATTTAATCTCAAATAATCATTACAACATTTTCAAAGAACCAAAGCTCTGGAGCTGATAATAAGCGGTGCCGATTTTAAGTTGTATATATTTTATTACCACAAAATATTGGTAGAGGTTTTAGTGTATTGCTTAGAGGGTTTTCCTGTGCCTCTGCCTCAGCGTGTTGCATAAGATGCCGCATATTGCGCATACGCCGTGTCGGCACATCGGGGAAATCCCCTCGAGCGAGTACAGGTAGCAGATAGCCACCACCATCAGGTATCAGGCACAGGTCGAGGCGGGACCTGCTCGCACCCCTAATCCCGAGCATCTCGGGGATATTCCCAACACGGCAAGAGGGCACCTTTTTTACTAATCCGGAAAGCGGGAATTCCCTTCCGCTTGCTGCTTGCCTGCTTTTGCGCAGACGCGTCGGCGTCGTAAGCCGCTTACCAGATACAAATATATAGATACAGATACTAATGCAGTTATAGATACAAATTTAGATACAAATATAGATACATCTCCACCTAGATGGAGAGCAATTGCAATTTGTTGCAGCTCACACGCTTGATTAGCTGCATTTCCTGTTCCCTTATGGTCCATACTCACTCACATATACACACCTATATAGGCCGCATATATCATGCTCTATTATGTTACCCAGCTTGCCGCAGTTTCCACTTTTCCATTTGCCATTTTCCATCTTCCATTTTTTTTTTTTTTTCAATTAAAAACAGATTGCGGTTTAACGTTGCAGCAGCAGCAAAAGCAGCAGCAGCGACTTTGAAACGTTTCTCGTCTTACATTCAACGCCGTTTGGCTCTGTTTAGCCCAGTTGATGCCCTGTAGATACCCCAGGGGCTACCCTCGGGGATTTAGACTTGAATCGGGATCGGAAGCGGAACATATAGCCTATATACTAAAGCCATAGATTAGCCCAGGAGCTTAGGCTATACTCTACACTGAGACAAAGTCAAGTTAACTCGGGAAGTAAGAGATCACTTTGGGCCTAAGCCAAATCGTGGGTCATTTTCATAATGTTCAAGCAATTTCCCGGCCCGGTGAAAACTGGCCTTCATTTAACCGCTCCTTAAACGTTGTTTCGTGGAGTTTATAGTAGGGCCTGTAATTGGGTTCGTGTAGATGGCACACTTTGACGCCCACTCTTTGGGCCCAGTGTGCTGCATCCTACAGATACAACAGAGATACTACAAGATACTATATGGCACCCACTTCCAGCCGAAAGATCTCTCTGTTTATACAAAGTCTTGGCATAATTTAGTCGTTATATGGCTGCGAGACACACTTATCCAGCGTGTATATATTTTGTATTTTTTTCTTGTATTTTTTTTAATGAATGAAAAGCCAACGCAAACCCAAAAGCAACAACAACTACCGAAACAGTTCTTTTTTGGACGGCTTTAGCTTGTCTCTTTTTTTTCCTTTTTGTATTTTTTTTATTTTTTTTTTTTTTTGTGGCTAATCAAACGTCAAAGACCACGCAGACAGGCCCAGCAAACTAGCAGCCAATTCGTTTTGTTCATTTCGCATTTAATTTAACTGATTAACAAGCTGACCGAGCGACCAAGAGACCTCCTCCTGCTCCCCAGCCCCAGCCTCGTCCCACGGTGCCGCCGCCATTCGTCAGCATAATTCATTTATTCAACTGTCTGCCGCCCAGTTAGGTGTTAAAAAGTTGTTAACTTATTTTTAATGAATGCGTGTAAAAACACCGCACACACACACAGACAAAAACAAAAACTTAACAACAACAAAAAATCAAAGAAAAAACAGCCAAGAAAAAGGAGAAAAAAAATAAGGCAACTCCGAAAAAGATCAAGATGTGCCTACGTAGAGCAGCCACAACAAGCCGCCGGCAACGGCAAAAAAATCGTTCCGTTCATTTCGTTTCGTTTTGGAATCTCTCTCTCTCCGTCTCTCTCTTGGCAAACATATCATGATCAGCGAAGAAGATGAGGAAAATGCAGAGCCAAAAAGTCGAAGTTTTAGATACCCTAAAGCCGGATTTAAGTATATTCTTAAAATACAAATTTAGTTCCAAGAGAAACAAAGGCTTTTTTAACTTTTAAATATATGTTGGAGAACCTTGCATGTTTCTAAAATATATATTTTACAGTCTAAGCCTAGTTTTTGAAAAACATTTTTAAAAAACCGTGGGTTTAGATACCCTTTAATAATATTTAACTTAACTCTTCATATTAGAAATTTCTTTCAAAAGAATCTTTTAAAACTATATATTTTAAACAAACTAAACGTAGTTTTAGACAAGTCTGAGATACTCTCCGCCAGTGTATTTCCCCAGAAACACGTTAAGGCCCCCGTTTTTGGGGGGCAACAGAGGTGGGGCAGAGCCAAGGGGCGGGGCTCAGACATTTGTTTGGGGCCGTCTGCGACAGCCACCCGAAATGAGCCACCGCCGCCGCCGTCGTCGTCGTTGTCGTTGTCAGTTGCATGTCAGCCACTCGAACGGGGAACGAGCTGGCCAGGAAGAGGATGGATGGGGGCCAGAGCTGTGGAGCTGTGGAGGAGCTGCCAGGAGGAGGGCACAGTGCCAGTGCCAGTGCCAGTGCCAGTGCCATGCGAAATGCAACCAATTTGTTGCATTTGCCACACAGACGCAAGAGGCCGAGGAGGAGGCGTTGCGTTGCGTTGCGGTTGCGCAGCGTGTGGGCAGAGGAAGCACTTAATGCCCACAAGGTGTCAAATTGCAGCAAACTCCGCTTCGCCCACCCCGAAAAAAAATTGAGAGGGGAAAACAGCACACACATCAAACACCGGATCATGCCGTGTGTGTGTGTGTCTGGCGTAAATTAATTTGGCCAAGAGCGTAGGCCAAGTAGATACGCTGCGAGGCGATACGATCTCATTGAGTCGATTCCGTAGGCTCTGCGCCGTTTCCGTTCCAATGAATGGAGATGGCGATGGCGATGGCGATGGCTAAGGCTATTGGGATGTGGATGTGGATGGGGGATAGAGTTTGAATTGCCACAGAGAGAGACGGGGGGCATCCGTTGAGAGTTGACAGCTAATAACAGATTTCTGCTTCTGCCGCCTCGCGGAAGACTCCTTCGTTTTTATGGGCGCCATCCATCTCAGCATCTCTAGCTTGATCTCCATCTCTAGCTTCATCTTTCTAGCTCCTTCTCCATCTCCATCTCTAGCTCCATCTTCATATCTTTCCCCATCTCTTCTCGGTGGCATTTGCCTTGCCTTTCATTAGCACATGCCGCATTCTTGCCATGCATTAATTATCAAGACGCAATCAGTGGCCACAGTGTGGTGTTGCCCACTTTTTCACCAAGGAAAACCCAAAAGAACACCCTCTCGAACCTGGAAAGCTTCTAAGGAAATATAAAGTAAACTAAAAAGGAATTTTCCTAGTTTCCAGACCCATTTTGACTTTGCTTGTCGCCTGTATAAAGCCATAAAAATGAGCAAAACTTCAAGAAATTTCTAGCTTACCAAAAATTAATGAATATTTTTAATTTATTGAAATTAAAATATAACCAAAATATTTCTTAGATCTAAAGAGGCCTCCTAATGAGCTTGCGCTCGGCTGAACATATTTAATTTTGTATAAAAATTCGCTGGCAATTTTTGTGTGTCGTTATTTGCAATTGGGCATGCAATTGCATAGCTCGACAATTAAATTTACCCTTTAATAGTCGCACATTCGTATATATACTATATATTTTCTTCGTGCTAAAAACGCCCACCAAAATGAGAAGAAACCCCAAAAATCGCCGCAAATCGCGTGTCGCGTGACGCGCTTTACCGGCTGCTGTTGTTGTTGTTGTTTTTGCTGCCCATTCATTGCAGTCCCAAAAATACAAAAACGAAAACAAAATACATCCTCAGCATATTTGTGCAACTTATCAGCGCATTTAAAATTAGCCATGCAACAAAAAAAAATAAAATACACCCAAAACCCACCAGCGTATTTTGTGGCTTCTATTATTGTAGTAATTTATATATATATATATACAAATACATGTATAAATTTATATATTTGTATTTTTATTTGTAGTTTTTGTTGATTTTTTTAGTATTTATTGTTGTTTTTGGTCTCAACATCTGTGTCGCAGTCGCGTGATTTGGTTTGTAAATGGGAAAGGAAGGCGACGGCTACGTTTTTGGGTGAAATAATTCAAGGAGGTGGATAGGAGGGCGGGGATTGAAAAATGCAAAAACTAAAACCAACAAAATACAAATAATCATTGAAAATTAATGTGTTCATCATTGTTGTTGTTCCAAAATTGCAAGAAAAACAACAACAAAATTAATTAAAACCAAATAAAAACTTGGAATTTATATTTAGTAAAATGCAAAACAGAAATATAAAGCTATATATACACATAAATGATCCATAGATCGTTTGTAAGGATTTATGACTGCATTTTA